GGCCCGGGCCCGGCCCGGCCCCGGCCCGGCCCGGCCCGGCCCGGCCCGGCGAGGTGCCTCCTCGGCTGGAACGTGGAAAGCTCCGGGAGAGGAGGGAAGAAAAACTGTAATTATAATGAAAAACGGAAAAACAAAAGTTAAACTGTCCCCCAAAAAGGAATGAAACAAGCCCTCCCCCAGGAGGTACTGGGCCCGGTTGGCCGCTTGGCACCTGCCCGGCGCTGAAGGGATGCCCTGGGCTGGCTAAAACACAGAAAAAATGGTGCTCGGTCGCAGTCAGAAGGGGGGTTTGGGGTGCTGCAGGGGAACTGAACTCTGCTGGTGAACCCCCGCCGATGGAGAGTCACCCCGATTGCCTGGCAGCTGCTGGCAGCCCTGACGTGTTTTGGATTACCAGGGCTAAAAATCTTCACGCCATGGGATGGGCAGATGGCACTGCTGCTGTACCCGCCACATATATAATCAATATGCTCAAAACACACCGGGCTAAAGTCTAATCTGATCTAAATCAATAGGAGATGGCTAAATGGACCTTACATAAAGTTGCAGAGGTATAGCAAAGGGCTGAGCTGATTTGCTCCATTTTAAATGGTAGGAAAATCAAACCATTTAAAAGCATATTTTTTTTCCTGAAGAGTAAACAGAGCATCTCATCACTCCAAGCTCGGGCATCCTTCCTTCTGTTCCCCGTTCTGTCACTGGGATCCATCTCTTGCTACGCGGATGAGGATGCATAAGATGCAGGGCTTGTACGTGGGCACATATATTTTATGTTATGTTTGTAACAGTCTGCTTTGATCCTTGGCATACGAACTCTGGCCCACCTTCACGCGCCTCATTTCCAGATCCCACAACTTTCCCATGTGCAGCTAGCACACAGTGGGGGCTGCCGGAAATCTGTGTACACAACAGTGCTTTTTTACAGCATTTGCTACCCAATAATCTTTCAGATAGCATGGCTTTTTGTCCAGGCAGCAAAGGATGCATGTAGGGTTAGACTCTGGATGTACAGGGTAATGAAGTCCCTTGCGCCTTGAAGCTGAACTGCCATATTTAAGGTCTGTTTTGAGCTCAGAGTTAACCCAAGTTATATCCTTGGAATACAGCTTCTGACTCCAGCTCTATCCACACACAAAGCTGCCTCCCCTGGGAAGGACACTGTTGTTATTTGCAAGGCAGGGGCACAGCCTGAGTAAACAAGACTTGCTGGCTGCTAGTAGAGCCACAGTTGTGTTAGACCAGGCACTGGCTGATGATTCATTGTGTGGCTGATCCCACCTGTGTGTCTCAGGCCTTCAAAATTCATTAGAGGGACAGGTTAAAAAAATACACCAGCAAGACTGTGCACAGCCCCCCCTGCTTCTTCCTTTCCAACCCCGTTTATTTTCTGCTTTGGTCTTAACACTACATTATCAAGATGCTCTTCTGTCATCGCTTTTCCACATTAGAGTCCTGCAGCTTGGTGACTCGTGCTCACTAGGATGGGAAGAGAAGCAATGGTGCTGACTGGCACTAGAGGCAACACCTCTCCACAGCAGTTTGCTTCTCTCATACTGTTTGGACATGTCCTGCATATCAGTACCACCTGAAAGGAATGCAGGCTGAGGAAGGGAGACAGCCAAATCAGCTAAGGATTTAAAGAAAAAGAAAAATCTTGGAGACACTGTGATCAAAACTACCTATGAAGAAACCCAAACAAGGTTCTTCTCTGCTCTGCAATGTCTGACTGCTGTAGCCAGCAAAGGACAATGGACAAAGCCAGAGAAATCCTAGTACTGTTGTAAGTATATTGCTATCCTTTTGCCCTACCTTATCACCCATATAGAAAGCTCCCACTGCTATGATCTTCACCTATATTCTAATTAAATATTCTAACATTCACTTACATAGTCTACTTCTATTGCTATGTTATTGCTATAGTCTTCACAGGCAGAATTGTTCCATGCTGGATCAGGTTGTGGCATCTCCATCCTTGGAGATTTTCAAAACTTAATTGAACAAGGCCCTGAGTAACCTAATCCAGCTTGGAAGTCAGCCCTGCTCTGAGCAGGGAATTGGGCTAGAGACCTCCAGAGGACCCTTCCAACCTATTTTTTTTTCTGATTGCACACTTTTATGAACACTTCCATCAGCAAACTCTCTAATATATCTCCACGTTCCAGAAGGTAAAATGGCACACTGTGGAAGAGTATGACTTGTCATAGCTACGTCAAAAACCCTGAAAGCACAGGGGTACAAGAGAGAATTAAGTAATAAATATTGTTTGTATAACCTTTCCAAATTATACCTATATATATATACCATCCCTGGACATCATTGATCGGCAGTTCTATGTGATTATTTCAGTAGTAAGGGTCAGTCTACCTTGCTACTTTAGTTCATATGATTATGTTCTTCTGTACTGGCTAATCTTGGAAACAAGAAGTTTGCTATTTACTTGTTAGTAAAGGCAATAGAAGTTGCAACTTATTTGCAAAAGACTTGGGAATGTGCCCTTGGAGCAAGGCACTCCAGCCTGATCTTCAGTTATCTCTGAGCTCCTTCTCTACACATACCTGTGGTGCATTATAAGTCCTTCCAAATATTGCATTAATTCTTAAAATTATCAGAGGGCCATCATCATGTTTGCTTCTTGTGAAGGACAGCAGAAGCCAATATAGCAAAGAGATGGCACTTCTGTATATGGACCTGATGCACAGATCCCCCAACGTTGGGGACAGAAAAGGTACTGACCTGTCTAAGCTAATCTGAGTCTTGTGAGTCACTGCAGAATT